GGGTCAAGGGGACCCAACCCTGGAAGACATACAACGTCAACAATACCCAAACTCTTCGTGATCTTTTCCACACCCTTCTGCCAAGCCATGCGTTGTCCACCTCGCGGTTTGCACTATTCTGACGCATAGAATAACACTCATCTCGGTAGATAGTGTTTCGGTATGTGTAGCACATGACCGAGCCATCGTAGTCGGTGGTGGTGGATGTTTTCCCCGACTGAAGTACCTGCCACACAACCAAATACCCGTTTTCTAATCACCCCGTTACTAACACGCTGATGCCATCCAAAACCAGTCACGCTTCTGAGGTATCGATGGTCAAAAAAGATGAAGAAGCCTAACAGCATCTATCCAGAGAGGCCACGTCTCGCCCTCATACAATAACACAGTCCTCACTGTAGCCCGGTACACGCGACCCTTAATATCTAGTGATATGCCTTTTGACGCAAAAAGTGAGGCAAATTGGCAAACGTGATTCGAGTCCCTGAGATTCTTGCACTGACTTCATCGGACACAGTTCCGTCAGAGCTGATACAACTAACGAGAGGTGTGAAATTTTCCAGTCTCCAATGGCTCTCCTTGAATTTTAAGAAATATTTCGGACTGCCAGTTCTGGAGCATGACTTTTCAATTTGAAGTTGCAACGTGCATGCCAAAAGATGGTATAACAGTGGTCAGTTTTGTGCTTCGATTTGGTACTCAAAGATGAGAGCGATGTCGTCCGCATACGGCAGATCCACAAGGCCCTCACCAGCAATTTGAATACCAGGGTTTTGAAGACCTTCCAGCGTTCGCCTCATTATTTCAACAATGAAGTTGAACAAGAGTAAAGAAAGCGGATATCCGTGTCTAACACGACTTTTCGTAGGGAAGATTTTGGAGAGCTCACCATACACCCTCACCCGCCAGGAGGTATGTGAATATAGGGATCGGATTATGTTTACAAACTTCTGAGGCATACCCTGTTGAGCAAGTGTAGTTAACAGCACCGACCGATCGACAGAATCGAACGCACCCTTGGAGTCAAGGGATACCAAGATTGTGGGTAGTCCGTACATATGACATTGCTCTATCACCTGAGAGAGTGTGAAGGTGTGGCCAACGCAGCCTTTGCCCGGTTGAAATTCCGCTTGACTCCAAGCAGTCACGATTTCGCGTGCAACCATGAGATGACCAAGAGTCAGTGACGCCAAAGGCCTTGTCACAACAGGAGTCAAACTAACACCTCTGTGGGTGCTAGAATCACTGCTAGTATCGGTTCACCCCAGTCGTCTGAGACGGTCTAGTTCTCCCAGATGGACCCAAATAAGCAAGACAGACAATGAATGAGAAGTCCACCACCATCCTTGAAAAGAGCGGGTGGAAGGTCATCAGGACCAGCAGCACGATGAGGCTCGAGTAGGGAAATACACTCGGACACTTCTGAGACTGAAGGCGGCTCCATATTCACGGTCCATCTTTGTGTTGAAGTCCAGGATTCTGGATTGGGGATGGCAGGTGGCCGGCAGAACTGCTGTTCGAAATACTGTGCCCAGTGGAACAAAAGTTCTGCTTTGCTGTACATCAGGGAGTCATTTTGGTCCATGAGTATTTCGTTGACAAGAGTTTTCCTAGGACCAGTCGAATGAATCAAGTGAACACCTTGTGGACGTTCCCTGAATTCTTTGCACATTCCATTTCTTCGGCCTTTCGGGTTCACCAAGCTTCTCGGTTTGCACGGGTACGCAGTTTCACATGGCACTAGATGATGCGTCGGGTGGAGTTGTGATTGCCGCCAGAAATCTGTCGCCGGGTCTCCAGCAAAGATAGGGTCATATCAGAGACCGAATGTTTGAATGAGGCTGGCTGGGTTGTACCGCAAACCGACGTCCCATCTTTGATTAGCGCTTTGGATATTTTTCCAGTAGTCGTTTATATCTTATATCGCACCGTCCGACAGGCATTTCAGGAGCTGGTTATGATCGTTTCGCCTGACTTCTGGGTTCACTAGCTTCTCAATGGCTAAGTAAGGTGTGAGCATTTTGCGCACACCTGGAAAACGCAATGAAAAGCAGCAGCGTACTAGTACATGGTAGGAGTTCACGGTGGGGTTACGGAAGAAGCGGCAAGCGGTGATCGATCCTCGCCACCGAGAACTGACGGTGATATCGTTTATTTGGATTTGGTGCTGGTTTGTTGTGGGCACCACTTTGCCAAGCGATTTCCGCTGTTCCAGAAGTTCGTACTGTAAAGGAAGTCCATAATTGGTATATATCTGAAGTAAGCGATCCCCGTTGTCCGTGCGTCTTGTGTCTAACCCAATGAGGCTCAGCAGCGCTTAGTTTACCTACCAGGGTGTTCATGTCATCAGCAACCACAACGATATCTGCACTTTAGCCCCCTGTAAAAGGGCACCCAGAGCGTCATAGAGGCTCTCCTTGACAGATTCAGAGCTACAGTCAGTTGGGACATAAGCAGACATAATACCCCAGTATATCCAGCTGCAGCGACCTCTGTGTCATCAGAGGTGCGCAGCCGGAACCTGGAAGAGAGCAAACGGGCAGTCGGTTCAATCATTGTGCTTGCGACCTGCATCCTTGTTTTCGACATCAATGTAGAAAGAATCTAGCATACGTGCAAGAGCTAGGTGTTGACCCGCTTGCATCAGTTTGCGAACATTAAAAGCGGCTAAGTAGTCCGAGTTTAAGGTTGTGACTGTACTCGGACGTACAGAAGCTGCAGCAAGTGTGATGCAGGGCGAGCAAAAGGGTCAGTCCTAGTGCTGGGACCTGCAGAGAAAGTATTCAAATTTGGGTAGGGGAGTGTGGAAGACAGAAAATGTGGAAGTGTAAGAAAGGAGGCGTCAGCAGTAGCATGTTTTCGCTTACCCGCCATGCTGTATGCAGCAAGTAAGGCGACCTAACTGATGGTACCTCGCGACGGCCGATGTGGCACGAAAGTATTATTATCTCTAAAGGTCAAGGTTGTACGAAGGGTGGTATATTGTGAGGTCGCCCACAGCTAGACAGGAGGGTAATTAGGGTCCCTAACCAAAGACTTCGGCTCAAAAGCCTAACCGCGAAGCAGCAGTATTGGGCTGGAAATCAAAATAGATAACTATTTTACGGAATGTGTCGCCACGTATGTTCCATCCCCTAACCTGGAGGGCCAGGAGACTGTGTTTGTCAGACCCCTACCCATTGACCAACCTAGCATGAGACTTTGTGGGTGTCGCGCGGACACACCCAGTATAGCTCAATGAGTCGCCGAGGCACACAAACCGCCACACGTCTCCTTGTGACAGAAAACCGTTCAGCCTAGCTGCCGTGGCACCAGAAGGAAGCGCGAATTCTAGGATACTGTCAGGTTGCCCAAGCCTACGTGGCACCAGAAGCGCGAATTCTAGGATACTGTCAGGTTGCCCAAGCCTAGACGGGATAGTCGAGAGGCAGAGGTCGAATTCGAAGCACGCACTGATTATTAAATTCGCACCCTATCCACTGATCCATCTCACCCCAAAAGCTATTCAGGCGTAGCACGCTTTCGGTGCCTGATTGTCACGCCACCAGAAGAAAGTATGGGAGCTGGATTCCTGTCAGGTTGCCTAAACAGAGGGGGTCAACAGGCACAACCTGTGCACTGATGTTTAGTGTTTCTGCTTGTCTGGTGTGGCGAGGATGGGGAGCTACGTGGTGAAGTTGACGGCTTTGATACAAGACCGCCATTAACTGCGTGACAAAACCATATGTCAGGGTCACTAACCACTGGCTTGTCTTATCCCGTGACTCCCATTAGGAAAGAGGGTACTTACCAATACAGATGAGCTGACTCGTGAGGGCTTTCGTATTGCATTGCCAGACCATAGACTGACCTCCCCTGGGTCGCCCCCATTTGACACAAGACTGCATAAAGAGGGCTTCTGGCATACGGAACACGGCCTATCCAGCGTAGCCTATGGGGCGTGACTATCAGATCTATCGAGGGAGAATAAGCTTTCCCGAAAACCATCTGGCTTTGCTGACGTGGTATTCCCATCGGACTCGCAACATGATATACGGGTACTCATTATCAGGTACAGACCGCCTTCAAAAGTCTTTCGCACACAGAGGCCACATCTCCGGTCTACAAAGTAGAACAGATCGGACCGCGACACTGTAAGCTTTATCCCTGACAGTCACACTGATGTCACTTCTACGGCACACATGTGAAAAGTTCGCGCGTGCTGCCCAGTCCTTCTCAAATCAAGAAGTAGTTTCGTCTTTTGTCAGACCACTGGGACATATGCAGCTGCCAAGGTACACGAACTTATCTGCCAAATCTGTCCGCTCACCTAAAAGAATGAAGTTTGGATATGATCGTGCCCAATATTGCGGGAGCCCTTTACACTTTACAGATCCGAAGCTTATAACCTAATGTGCAGCAAAATTACTCAGGTCATTTAAAATGGTTTGCATTTCTGAAGGGTTATCCGGGAAAAGGAGTGTCATCACCGTGCTCAACTCCTGGAAGCGAACGTCCCGATAATACGACGTTTATGCTCGGAAATAAACCCATTAACACCCAACGCCCTTGAACCAGCTGACCAGATTATATGGAACGGGGTGTGTTGTGACTC